AATGTTATTTCTTTGATATGCCCTTATTAATTGATTTCATATTCTCATAGCAAGTATTTTTGTCTTCTGGGATTTATTAATTTTATTAATAAAAAGCTGGTGGTGATTTCATTTGTTTTATTTTGAATAGTTATGTAACACTAATGCCTATAGGCTACTGAGGCTGACTGTACAAATACAAAAAAAAACTGTAGTCATTGCTACAGATAAATTATAATCTAAACAAACTGATGCAGTGGATCAATGGTAAATGTTGAACTTAATGGAAAAAAAGGAAAATAAATCCTATGTATTAGTCAGGGAGGCCCTATAAACACAAATTCTCATAGTTTGAATTAGATTACACTTTAAAGAAGAGGCAGGTTCTGACCAGGTGCTAAGTTCTGGAGGATGTTTTCACCTTTGMGGAAATCACTCCTTTCCTTGAAAAACCTATTTTTATGAAACCAACTCMCTGTATTCCTTGCCTTAGGACCCGTGGATAATTTTAACTGAATGTCTCTTTAGATATCTCAAAGAAATCTGCATTGCATTGCATTTACCACTGTGAACTACAGCAGTGACATTTTGGATCTCTTTATTCTTTTTGGAATTCTGTTTCTTATTCAAGTATTTTTAAAGCAGTAAAAATAGGGTGGATATGCCAGGATRAATGGTAAATGATGGCAAATGTCAATTATGAAAAGATAATGATCTGTAACTTAAAAAAAAAATTCAAAACACATTTTTCTACATTAAATTGTTCTCAAAAGCCAGGAGAATTGTCAATAAAAATATTTAATTTTTGTTTTTCTTCACAGCAAACTAATACCTGCCTATCCTTTTCTTTTTGAACAAATTGAAGGCAGCATTTCCTGATTGGAATTTGATCTGAGCACAGCAACTTAAATGTAATTTATCTTCACTTTCAGAAAACCAGTACCTGAATTTTACAAAGCAACTTCCCAAATACTAATAGAGGGAGGTAGGAGGACTAATTTCTTTAGATTGTCCCAGCTACTCTTCTTGTATCTCTTTCCTCGTCAGAGCAGTGAGAGTTTGAGTTGAGGAATTTTTCTGATGTCGGCACAGATGAGCTAAATTGTTTATCTCCAAAGTGCAGAAAGGAATCTCCAATTGATGCTGARCTGGTGCCACTAGCCCTGCTGTTTCTGGCTGTCCTACTGTGGCAGGATCACYTTCCTGATTTGGACAAATAGCTTTACTTCCATTGAGACAGCTGGTCTCATTAATACAGGTGATTGAGAGGAAAGTTTTTAATCCAGGCTTTTGCATCTGAGAGATTGTTGCAGGGCTTGGCACAGGCAAAGATATTAGTTCCAAATTAAACTTCTCAAATAAAAGATTAGCTTAAGAAAATTAGGATAGCTGGTCATTTGAAAGATTCTGTGTGGTATCCCTGYACTTACTCCAATCCTAATCAACTGTTTAAATTTTAATGAAATGAAAATCTCAGTAGTCAGCTTTTTCATGGTTTTAGCAGGCAATACTTTAAAAGGAAAAAAAAACTCAACAAGGCTTGGTATTTCTCCACCTTGAAAATTTTGAAGGGGTGTGTGCAGTTCCATGCAAAATGCAGATAACCTGTTAGATAACATGAAGATTTTAATAAACAATCTTAGTATCTACCTGGTACTTACAATGGTACTTTCACTTTTACCATTTGCCCTATTTAAGATATCATAAAAATAGATACCTTCCGGCCACTTCTTCTGGCTTTTTCAGAGACACAGAAAAATTAATTTGACATTGTTAGCACAGATATTTTATTTACTTTCTGACTCATCTTCTCTAAATGGTGAGAAGTTTATTATATTAAAAAATAAAATTTTACAAGTTATCCATGGACATAATAGCTGGAATATGTKTACAATTAAAAACATATGGATGCTGTTTATTGCTCAATCTTATTATTTAAAGGAAGAGACTGAAGGAAAACTGTAGAAGGACTTACAGAATGCAATGCACAATGACAACTAAATGGCAAAAGCATGTCTTTAATACTTTGGAACCTCATTTTTTAATGAAATGTATTACATTGTGGAGCATTRTATATATGTTATATAGATTAAAATTGTATTTCAAATACTTGAAACTCTCATTGCTGAGCTTCAGCAGGTATTGAGGGGCCTGGACCACATGTAGTTTTGAGACTATTTCTTTGAAGATTGTTTTTCAATGATAATTATTTTTACTTATTAGATAATACCGAATGTCTGAATTCTGCCTGTTATCATTCATATCCTGGAAGTTTAGTTAGCAGATAACAAGCAATCTTAAAACTAGTGAAGGAAGAAGAGGGAACCTATCATTAACAATGAGCTGGTCATCATTTAAGGATTGCTGAGAGCTTGCTCAGGGCTCARTACAGGCAACAGCACAATTTTTGTTTCATTGTTCTATTAAATTAATGCATATATAGCAAAAGTAATCAGATACATATTTCTGTGTTGTTCTGTTAAGCTTTGTAATCTGAATAAGAATGTTTGGGGCATGTTTAGTATAGGAGAAATCTTCTTGTGTAATACCAGCAGCAAAGAAAAGACATAACTGCACCAGACAGTAGTGGAGGCAGGTCTCAAGTAATATTTCCAACTCATCAGGAAAACTTGTTTAAGGCATGTTTTTTTCCCTGTCTGAGAAATACAGTGAATGYCTAAGTCTACTAATACTTTCCCTCATCAGTCCTTGGCCCCTCTGTGGATTTCTAGCAATACAAATAGATATCTTTAAATTAGGACAATGCATTTTGTTACGGCATTCATACCTTCATGGAAAAGCAGCCTAAACAAATGCACTGAACTATAAAGACAATACAGTCACTCTGATGACTCAATTTGGATGCATCTTTTGAAACTAGTTTCATAGAAAAGGCACCTAGGATGACAGGTTGAATCGCAGACCTGTAAAGAAATGAATTATTCAGAAAGACCAAAGAGAAACCTCAGACATCTTCTTAGTTCATTAATCCTGCATGAGCAAAAGTAATAATCAAAGGACTCTATCCAGAAAATAAGTGTGCTTTTAGTTGTAAAAAAAAAAAAAAAAAAAAAAAAAAAATTTTATTATAAAAAAAAAAAAAAAAAAAAAAAAAAAAAGGACAAGTTTGAGTTTAGGATCCTTATAATTGGGAATTACATTAATTTAAAAAAGGGATCAGCAAAGGCATCCATCTTGTGCAAAGTAAAAATTAGTAGCTGAAGTTTCAACATAGAAGCCTATGGTAAGATTCTCTGCTGGAGACTCCGGCTGGCTTTACAATTTRTTTTTCCTTTTATACTGCTTCTGTAACTCCAGCTATTCCAGGATCTCTGTCATTCTGCACATTGTATTAACTCATAGTTCTCCAGGATATTCCTTGAGAGAAATTTTCTTTTTTTGTGTCTAGAGTATAGTATATTTAATTTATGAATATATGGCCAGCTGCTCACACACATTGATGCTGTGTTGTGAGCCTACTTCAGAGATAAASACAAGGTGGCACAGGAACATGGGGCCWTACCACATCATTGGATTGGTAATTCAGATTTAGGAATATGCTGTTTCATTTTTTCCTCACAGTTTCTTACTCTAGGTTTTTCACACACTTTCTAATATCCCCTTCTGCCTTCATATATCTTATCTCATAAGATCATTACTGTAGGCCTTTGTGTGTCTTTCTGTGTGTGGATTTCTACAAACTTCAGACAGGCAAGAAGCTTTAGGAGAAAGACTGTTGAATGTGTACAAATGAGCAGAATATTATGTCTCAAATCTAAATGTAGCAACTCCAGGGTACAGCTGTTGCACATTCATGAAGTAATGTAGAGAGAGAAGGTTATATAGCTTTCATGTACATAATCAAACATAATTAAAACTCATTAGTTAAGCACAGAAACTCACTCTTAAAATTGATTCTCAAATTTTTTACAACACTATGCCACAAACTCTTGCAAAGCAGACACCTGGTAAGGTTATAATTTCTTCCCTAGTGGCACCGATCTTTAACCCTATCTGCCTKCCTTCTGCCATTCTCTCCCTCCAGCTATTCAAACCTCACAACTGTGCTGTACAGAACATCACTTTAAATAACTGATCCTGCTGCAGAAGGACTTGAAGGAGAGAAGAATAGCACTGCTTTCAGTTGATGCACTGCAGGACTTCATAAAGAGGCTTACTGTACAGTAGACAGTTCAGTGCAGAGAGCAGGAAAAAGCAGCATCATCCACCACTGATACTGAAGACATTCAGATTTAGGWTTCAGACTAATTTCAGTCTTTGCCTTGCAAAGAATCAAAAGCAGCATCCAGCATAGCCTTGATTGTACATCCCGTTTTCTTTTGCTTAAAAGGCCTGTGGYTTGATTCACAGCTCACAGTCAATAAATGCAGCCTAACCTGCTCTGATATCTAGTATCAGCCTTCATCACAGTGAAGTGTCAGTAAGAGAGAATTATGCTTGTTCTTCCTGTAATTCAGTTGCTGTCATTTAAACAGCACCAGTCATGCAAAATCTTTTCGTTTATTGAAAGTATTTACGTTTGTAACTGTATTACYGATGCTTGAAAAAATATGGAAAGATAAAATCTGTGAAGTAGTAGAATGTAGGCTTAAAATTTTCAAGAGCACCTCACAGAATATGGATTTATGCTTGCAATTAAAAAAAAAAGAAAGCTGTACTGTTAAAACACTTGTATCAGCAGTTTGCTCTAACTGGGAGTGTCCAAGGACACAGGCAAAGCAGCRTCTGTGGGCAGAAATAGTATCTTTTTCTGGATCATCAGGAAAAAGCTAAAAAATAATTTTWAAAATATCTAAATAAATTCTGAACAGTTGCTTTTGACTGTCATTCAGCCTTGAAATATGCTGCTTCTATTTCTATTTAAGCCTGAAAAGAGTATCTGACCAAATGTTGGGGTTTTTTCTAGTGGTACAATCTAGCTTGCCTAAATTATTTAATTTTCTTTTATAGGTCATTCTTACACAAGAAGCTAAAAGTAATTAAATTTGCAGGATGAAAACATGGCACAGGCACTGCTGGYACCACCTGGACCTGAAAGCTTCCGCTATTTTACTAGAGATTCTCTCGCAGCTATTGAACAGCGCTCTGCWGAAGAAAAAGCTAAAAAGCCTAAGCAAGAACATAAAGATGATGATGATGAAAATGGTCCAAAACCAAACAGTGACCTGGAGGCAGGGAAGACACTGCCATTTATTTACGGGGACATACCTCCAGGAATGGTATCTGAACCTTTGGAAGACCTGGACCCATATTACATCAATAAAAAAGTGAGTGAATAATGCTTTGCACAAAATAGAATATAACCTTACACACTAGAAAAGTTTAGTCACAAAATGTGATAGTTAGCACTAGCAATCCACTAAATAGATAGAAACATTCTTTCATTTAACATAACTAATTTATGSTCTTCCATATTGTGACTGCTTCAATTCCGTTGAGTTACTTTTTACTTACTTCACTGTAAGGAAGATGTATCATCCTTGATCTTTCCTGAACTTGAGAACAGAATGAATTTTCCTGATTTCAATATAATAGTAAGACTGCATATGACAAAGAGATGGTTTTGCAATGGATATAGTTGTAGATAACGAGGTAGCATTCACCCAAGTTGAAATGTGAGGACTGAAATAGAGGACTGTAACCATAGTCTTAGTTTCATATAACATATGCAAACATATTTTTGTATGTATGAAATAAATGTATCTYTATATTTGTAGCTTATAGAGACTGTAAGTCGGCTCATATGAAACTACTGCAATGCAAACTATTTCTTGAGGTGCTTGAGTTTGCTATGATAGATCTCTAATGTAAAGGTGTCAATTAAATTCTCTGGCCAACACCATGGAAAATCTGGGATTTGAGGAAAATTGAAAAAATACATTTTTGGTTTTTTGAAGAGTTTTCATACAGGAAGAGCAGAGCAAAGAGTTGTGAGATAAAARCAATGTACCTAAGTTAGATGTGTGGGGCGGTAACACAACTGGACCATCAGTAGCAAAGTGCTCCATGAAGAATGTCAACTCCTAAAAGAGGTGCATTTTCCCTTCCATTTTGCACAGTCATACACAGTGCTCCATTTCTCATGATYCCCAGTTAGGGACTCTGAGATAGAAATGATAGTTCAAACAGATCCATTAAAGAAAATAGTTTGACTTTAAAAARGTTAGGGTTTGCTGTAGAGTGCATGGGTTTTGGTCTTGTAGMAATGATGCACACAACTGGAAGCAGACTAATGTTATTTGAGCTAACAGAAAGACAAGGAACAAACAAGTATATATCTATAGATGGGATTAGTTGTAGAGTGTTCTAAAATCCTCAAAGGTCTGAAATAGTCCAGCCTGGGAACTGATAAAAGTACCTTAGGTCCTGCACTGATTAATGAAAAGTACAGATGACAGTAAGAGCCAGTTTTCCTCTATACTCTTGTTTATTTCTGTGTGCTCCTTTAGCAGCATCAAGATGTTCTCTCAGTTTCTGATAGACCTGCAAGGTGCTGTGGGTAAGGAGAGTGAAAGAAAATGAAGAGGTRGATAACACTCCTAATTTAAAGAATGCAGTTGTATTATCTGGGGAGTATCTGTTCCCATCTCTCTGAAACAGAGAAAGAACTGGACACSGTTGCTCTAATGATGAATTGAAGCATTTCAGGCTGCCATCAAGATAAGAAACTTGATGTTGAGCCAMTATAAAAAGTCAAGGCTAAAATACTTTAAATTCCAAAGAAACCTACTTTCTTTGTTAGGAAAAACGTCATGCAAACAATACTCTCACTTTTGTGGCAAAACTCTTGGTTGCCTTTTGTTTGTAAAACTGGTTTAAAACTATGGCCTCAGTAATGGGAACAGAAAATAAAGCAGAATCTGTAAGTAATTGCATAACCTAACAGTTGCCAAAGTTAAATAAACAGTGTTGTAGACAATACAAGTATGTACATTATTAAGGAAATATAAAGAAATTAAAGTTCAAAGAAATAGCATTGCCAAGGTTTATTTAAATTTATATGGTTTGGGTTATACCAATGGTTCCATTCAAATTCTTACAATATAATTGCCAGAACTGAGACCTTCTCTGGACTAGCTGCAAAAATTCAGGAATAAAGTTGCATAAATAAGTGCAGGGATAAAGTTATCTGAGCAAGTTATCTAAAAATGACGTTTCAGAAAACCTGAGAACTGCTGAAGTATAGTTTCTACCCTCCATTGATYAGAAAAAGTAGTCAGATTTTTTGGAACAAAATTGTGAAAGCTCACACTAATGATGGACTTCTTAGTCTATGAGAGCAATCMGCAAACTGTAGAATCTTTAGTCACAGGTGACATCTGTATTTATATTACCCAGCAGTATAATAGTGCTCAACAAATGGACATCTTAAATCAGGGACTCAAATTAGTCATCCCTCCTCTGGTGTATAGTAGAAACCACTCCTAATCATTGACTTGTCAATGCAGAGGAAATCATACGTGAATTGTAGTCTGTCTTCAGGCTCAGCTGCCRCAGTGACCTTGGGACAGGCAACATCTTTCTAGCATTTCCAGCTGGGTGAAGGACTGTAGGGCAGGGAGAAATGCCAGGGAGTGTGTGTCCGTTCTCTGCCACCCTCAGTGYCAGCTTGATGATGTTTTGTGAACAGGCACCAGCAACAATCCTTTACCTATTTTCTTTTCCAYCATGGAGAGATTTGCTTTCCCTGCCCAAGATGACTGACCAAATAGGCAGTAAAGACCACGGAGAGGGCAGCATTTTCCTGATCACAGCCAAGCTTTTACAGAGAATGGCAATCAACRTGGAGAACAGTGATACTATATAGCWCTGCTGAGAGTGTAACAAAGACTCCATTATGCTAACACAAAGCAGAGCCATTACCATCGACAAAGAGCAAAAAGAATGAAGAATAGTCAAGTCYTGAAGAAATTCCAAGCAGCACCAAAGACACAAGTAAACCTCATTCACACACATATACATTTAGGCAATGACTGCCCACAGAAACAGAATAAACTGAACATAAACCAAAGGTTTATCAGATCAAATTTTAAAACATAATGACTAGCTAACTTTGCTGCTCACATATAGGGGAAAAGCATACTGTTAATAACAAAACCAGCRATTTTTTTTAAAAAAAAATCTGTTGTGATAGAATGTCAAATTCTGTTGTATGTTTGTATCACATTGCTCAGAACTATGTTAGCTTGCAATTTATTAATAATTTTATTTTTTCCACAGATAYATATTTTAGAAGATACATGTAATTGATACTGGTAGTACTTAAAATAGCAAAAGAAAGCAAAATTATTTTTAGATTGTGGTTGATTTTGTAGTGACAAGCAAAGTATTTCTCCTTGTCATTGTATATGTGTATGTGTATAATTCTGTCAAGTATTTGTTCCAAATACAAATTGGCATTTAGAATTGCCCTTTTGCTATTTTGGTTTTGTTTGTGTATGCTCACAAGGTAGAATGTATTTGATAAATCTGAAGTTTTCACTTCAATCTAAGACTTCATTAGAAATAAAATAAAAATATTTTAGTATGTGACAAAATGCGGCATTTTGCTATTATTGATAAACTGCCATGGTTGTTTGTAATTCCCACCAATTTTAACATCAAAATTCAGACTACTTGCTGGGAAATTTTGCAAATTGGAGAATCAACTGTGCAAGGCTTAATTCACTGTATTCATAGGAATCAGTTATTTTCCTACCACAGGTAGATAGTAAAATGGAACTTGTACCTCTCAAGGAAACTTTTGGTAGCAGGTAGAGATGTATATGTAAWCAACACTCTATTTTAATTTTCTATTTCTTTTTTGCAGACTTTCATAGTATTGAATAAGGGAAAAGCAATTTTCCGATTCAGTGCCACATCTGCCTTGTATATTTTAACTCCTTTTAATCCCATCAGAAAAATTGCTATCAAGATTTTGGTACATTCATATCCTTTTTTCTTAATGTGGATTTAAGTGCTGCTATTTGAAGTTGCTTAATAACTGAAAGAATACTTTTCATGTGAATATACAAATTGTATCCATGGGGATATACTATGCTAAAAATATATATATATTGTTCACAGTTAAAAAAGGGGCAATATCACATGTGAACTGCAGTATGATCTTCATCCCTGCCGAGAGAATTCTCTACTGAACCACCTAAAGCTGTCAGAGTTTAAATATCAGGCTTTATATCTGAAAGGAGACCTGATCCCATACTAAGCCCTGCAGCTAAGGCCACATTAGTAACAAACCATTGCACTTGAACATATCTAAGGTCACACTTTTACCAAGACCAGGAGTACTATTCATGAACTACACTCACTTAGCAAGGACAAAAGAGCATGGATAAAGAGCTGCTTTTTCCACATTGTGTTTTCAGCATTGGGATAGGTGTCCTATAGAAGATTCAGGACAAAGGAGTGTATTTTCAAATACATTTCAATTATGTTCAAGGAAAAACCTGGGCCTAAACAACAAACCTATGACTAAAGAKCTTTTAAAATGAGCCACCTGTATTAAATTAGTAATTACTGTGGGTAGTCATTTCATGTTTTACAGACTTAAAAATGTTATAAATGTCATTTAAAACCTAAACCTGCTATAATTACAAAAGTATTGCATTGTTTTACTGAAGTGCACCATAACATGCCAGATGGCATACCATTTAAAATATATATGCAAAGCTTTACTGTCAGATTTTAATTAGAGTGTCAGGTTATTTGTATGCATTTCTATACACTTCGTATTTTTATGTTATTTCTGTGTTATAAAGCTGTCCCCCTTTGACTTATGTGCCTTAACTATAACCTACATTATTCAGCATGCTTATCATGTGCACTATTTTGACCAACTGTGTATTTATGACCATGAGTAACCCTCCAGACTGGACAAAGAATGTAGAGTAAGTTAAACATTTTTACATCTTTGTTTTTGTGTGAATCCAAACAAGAAGTATTTATAAAAATGTGAAKGCCAGAATGGGCTTGTCCAGAGCAATGAAGAATCCGATTCCATGGGATCATCTTGGAGTATCTTTCCAATTTCCTCTTGAATAACTTACATGATTTAAGAGTAACACCATGTTTGTTAAAATTGCACCTGCGGTCTATGTGAACTTCTACTGTTTAGTACTGACAGGAGCTCTTGTCCTTGGATATTCTGAGCTGTAAATCAAAGAGCTCCAGAACTATAAATGTAAAATTGTTTCCATACCTTGCTTGAGTATCCATGACCTTATAATGGACTTTTATCTTGCCTTATTTGAACTCGTAAGTGCCTGCCACAACAAGCACACATAATCCACAAACTACAAGAAATTCAAACTGCCAAGGAAAGGCCCTTACCTTTGAAGGAATAAGAAAGAGCTGACCTAAATAAGGAATATTTMTCTTTCTTGTTCATTGTTAAAAATGCATGTTTATTCTCTAACAAAATACACATTTTCTTCTGAAATACTGTAGAATCATAGAACGATTTGGTTGGAAGGGGTCTTAGAGATCATCCAGTTCCAACCCCCTGGCATTCAGGGACACCTTCCATTMGGTCAAGTTCCTCAAAGCCCTTTATGTTTTTATTTGAAATAATACTATTCAGGAAAAACCTCGTTCTACCCACTTGTTGCTTTTTTCATTCTCTCCTTTTCTCAAATAGCTGTTATTGATTTTTTTTTACATTTATTTCTCTGCATTAATGAACCTTACACTGAACACCTTTTAGAAACCATTTCCATTAACCCATTCCCAGTTAACAGTGACTATAGCTTGTTAGAGTTGCTGAGAGGCTGAAAGGAGAAGAGTAGGGTCTGTACGTAGAGTTCCTTTATTCTAGGTAGAGTTCCTTTATTCTAGGGGGTCCACAGAGATCCATGTGGGTCTCAGGAAGTGCCTGTATTTTGCTGGTTGTAACTGTTCTATGTTGTTAATTGAACAGCTGTTCTCACACCAGGTAAACTGGTAATCATGCTCCACATCTTTGAGAATAACAATCAGAGCATGCTTTCTTAAATTTGATGATTATTTATGAAATAAGCATGTAATATTGGCATTAGTATAGTTATTATCCAGAAGTGATTTTTACAAAACTGATCTTGACATTAAAAAAATTTTTCGTTTTTTGTTACACTTAGACATCTACCTGATTTATGACTGCAAGCAAAGAGGCAACCCTGTGAGCACCAAAGAATTTACATATAAATATCAAAGTCTGAAATGTATCTATAAATACTAGAGTCAGAAATTATTTGAAAGTACAAGAATTGAGATTAAATGARCATTTTAGAAAATGAGTAGTGTATATGTCAGGTTCAAATTTGAAAAAAGACTGCATAGCAACTGCAATATTTAGGGCAAGTGAAGTTAATAATTTATTCCTTTCACTTCTAAATCCTTTTTCTTTTAAGTCATATTTGCTAAAGAATGGCACTGTCTATAAGCATGCAAAAATCCATTATTCCTGCTCTGATGGTTTTCAGGTACACTTTCACTGGAATTTATACCTTTGAATCACTTATCAAAATTCTTGCAAGAGGCTTCTGCTTAGAAGGTTTTACTTTTCTACGAGACCCATGGAACTGGCTTGACTTCAGTGTCATTTTAATGGCGTAAGTGATTCAAGAATTTTTTAAGCTTTTAGGGCATGAAATTAGTGGTAAATATTATTCTAATAAATGTCTTTTTTAAGCATATTTGATTTTTGCAATCTTTGAAGTTTAGACACTGTATCACACATTTTAGTATTCATAAATCAAAGTAAAATACAGCAGAAGCCGAAATGAAGTGTCCGCCACGAGTGTAATTACTGCTGAGGGACACTAATTTCATGTCCTACATTTTTCTGCTCACCAGAAATGAAGCCATCCCTTTGACTTCATGTCACCATCCCATTACAAGCTAWTTAGTTTAACTAGATGTTCAAATACAAATCAGTGAGTTTCACKTCAATGACATTTAAGCAGAATTGATGAAAATAATGATTAAAATTAAATGTACTGAAGAGACAGGTAAATTCTGAAGTATGATTGCTAGTATTACCACAGAGGTTTTGAAGACCCACATAATTAGTATAAGCTCTGCCTCAATTCTGAATAACTGTGATTTAATCCTACAGGTATGTAACAGAATTTGTAAACCTAGGCAATGTTTCAGCTCTTCGAACTTTCAGAGTATTGAGAGCTTTGAAAACTATTTCTGTAATTCCAGGTAAGAAGTAGTTGGTGTAAGGTGTTAGGCCCCTCRTATCTCCAGCTGTTATTTGTGTGCTGTCATTGTGTTTGTGTGTGAACTCCCCTATTACAGATATGTGACAGAGTTTGTGGACCTGGGCAATGTCTCAGCGTTGAGAACATTCAGAGTTCTCCGAGCTTTGAAAACAATATCAGTCATTCCAGGTGAGAGCGAGGTTAAACACTGAGGCTGACTTTAATTCACTGAAATGGAATTCATATTTTTTAAATAGATGTCATATTTCTTTCCACAAAAAAGCAGGAATCAGAAGATATCAGAATTCACTGAAATCTCTGATTCATTGCTTTTGAACATGAGCACTTTCCTTTTGAAATCAGCCTTTGAGTTTAACAGATTCTTGCATGAGACATTGCAGTATACAGCGTGTGTGGTTTGCATCGTATGACGTCAAGCTTTCTTCTCCACATTCAATGAATATTAATAACCCTGAAGTTTTCTTACCCATGTGTATCCTACCTACATGATGTTATGTGATATTTGTTGTGAATATTTGTGTCTAAAAAGTAAAACTGTTTGAAATGTTGACTTATGAAGAAGGTGAGGGAATAAGATAATAAAGAACAGCATGGGTGTTGCATGGGGGATTTATTATCTTAAAAATCTACAATTTTCCAAACCCTTTCCAGTTTTATAGCATTAAATTTGAATCCTATTTGTTGTTGAACAGGCTTTTTACTACTGTCTTCTAAATCTAGTATGTTATAAAACTGATGGTAGTAAAGGTTTGGAGCAAGATCTATTGACAAATGAAAAGAAAGAAGACATTTATGTGAGATTAATGTACAGCATGAGTAAAAAATAGTTGCTTGTTTTATCATTAAAACAAGTGTTTTGAAATATATGCAGCTCATTCCATTCACAGTGTCAAATGGACATAAATTTCAGCTATTTATTCATTTTCAAGTGAAAAAGCTCTTCACAAAAATGTTGTTTCACAGACATTACAATCATGTATTTGGGCTTCTGCATGAAATCTGTAACTTTATTGAGAGTCACTGTCATTTTTGTGCTTTGCAAAAGTTTCCAACATCAGAATAAAAATTCCTTTCCATTTGCAGGCCTGAAGACTATTGTAGGAGCCCTGATTCAGTCTGTGAAGAAGCTCTCAGATGTGATGATCCTGACTGTGTTTTGTCTGAGTGTATT